GTGTATCTCTGTGTATGCGTCTGTGTGTTTATATGTGTGTGTGTGTACGTGTGTGTATATGTCTCTGTGTGTGTGTGTGTGTGTGTGTATGTGTGTGTGTGCCTCTGTGTGTGTGTGTGTGTGTGTGTGTGTGTGTGCCTCTGTGTGTGTGTGCCTGTACTTCTATGTATGCCTGTGTACATGCATGTACGCCTTAACAGTATTTTAATGCTTTTACATTACTTTTGTTTCCAACAATAAGAAAACTAATAGACTTCAATTAAAAACTCTGTTTTTGCCCCTCAATGACAGTGAAGAAAATTATAGAATTATAAACTTCATGACCAAGATAGCCCCATACAAATAAATAAGCTGTGAGGAAATATTGAGGTTGAAGTATTAAGGTGGATACGTATGGTACTGCTGTTTCAGAGCAGTAGGGGACAGTATAAGGCCAAACGTCCGCTTGGTGAAAGTCAGTGATTGGAGCTGACAGTGTGAAAACTTTCATCTGTATGACAACTGTGTGCTCACAAAACATCAGACTGGCATAATATCCTCCAGGAATGGAACCAGAAAAGGATGTGTTAAAATAGTCATTATGCAGGTAGAATAGAGAGAGAGGGGCTGAAGCTGCCTTTGAGAGGAGTTGGGTTGGCTAGGCCTGGGGAAGCCACCTTCATAATTCCTTGTCAATATTTCCTCTATGCCATGTGTGGGCTATGTAGCTGTGCAGGAAATAAACACGCCGAGCAGAAGCAGCCATCCCTTTAAGACAAGCCCATGTGTAGTAAGGCAACAATCTTAAAGGGACTGGCTACTGCAACTAATGTCCAGTGAAGGAGATTTTAGAGGGCTGCTCCTCATTAACATCCAGAGTTTTCAGTGCAATGGAAGTTTAAAATCAATGCTTCCTTAGTAATAATTGATCAAAATATTAGGACTCACTAAATTACAGAAGAGCTCGTGCAATTTCTCCGCATCACGGGCCATTCTGTCTGACAGCCTCTCTCGTTCCGCAGGGTTTTTGCAGACAATCTTCCTCAGTACCAGCGTGCGGACATAATCAATAATTACCAGCCGGAGGCCTTCAGACAGCATGAACTGTGGAGTCAGCAATCACAGAGAGAGAGTGATTACACCTTGTGCCTGAGGCATGTACTAAAGCTTGGGGCAGCTGCTGCTAAGGCCCAGTGGGGGACAGTACCATTGTAAGCTCTACCCTTCGAACGCTAATACACTGAAGGACTGGGTGCTACCCCTTCAGCCCGTGGGTTTGGCATGGAATGTACGTTATAAGTGCCCCATTGCAATTATATAGAGGCACCTCCAGCTCCAGAGAACTGTACAGAGACGAAAAAGATGATTTTCATTGCACCTTCTGCACTCTGCAGTTTGAAACATCTTGAATTTTACTTTTACAAGTATTAAGAATGAGGTATGTTTTTGGAAAACAAAATAATGGGCATCACATTTACAGGGCTGATTCTCTCTCTTTAAAGTTTATTCGTCACCTGTTTAATATTCCCTCCCTCCCGACCCTCGCGTGCTTTCCGGAAATACTTTGTGTACATCACACGGCTCTCATAATACAGCATTCAATTCTCAGTTTGTGTGGGGTAGGCTGGGTGGTTGCAGAGTGTCAGTAATACATCTGAATGAATAACATGGGAAGCATGAAAAAACAGAGCACAGGTTATTCTGGCCACTCATTCAGTTCAAGTAGTCATAGAGTCACAGAGCCATAGAGTTGTGCAGCACGGAAACAGACCCTTCGGTCCAACTCATTCATGCCGACCAGATACCTTAATTAGTCTAGTCCCATTTGCCAGCATTTGGCCCATATCCCTCTAAACCCTTCCTATTCATGTACCCATCCAGAAGCCTTTTAAATGGTGTAATTGTACCAGCCTCCACCACTTCCTCTGGCAGCTCATTCCATACATGCACCACCCTCTGTGTGAAAAAGTTTCCCCTTAGGTCCCTTTTAAATCTTTCCCATCTTACCTTAAACCTATGCCCTCTAGTTTTGGACTCCCCCACCCCTGGGAAAAGACCTTCACTTTATAGTGTGTGTATGTGTGTGTGTATGTAAGGAAATGGAAGCATATTTGTCTGCACGTGTGCTTTTCTGAGCAGCTGAGCCTTTATAAGTGCGAGCAAGCGTGCATCCAGAGGAGTACATGAGATGAATTGTAGGTTTTCAAGTATATACTGGTGTAAGTGTACAGGTATACACAGGTGTGAGTGTGTTGGAATGTTCTTGGGCATCTGACATAGTGCCCTGAGATGCTTTTCCTCATAAACCTATGGAGTACAAGTCAAGAATCTATATTAGTGAAAAATAATCGGAGTTTTGAAGACCTTCCTCCTTCCCAATTACCCTTGCAATATTGGGCCTTGTGAACTTAACTTCGATAGAAAAGGCATCAGGATAACCTTTGACTGTTAGTTCTTTGCAACAGGCACCAATGATGATACTTACCATTTAAGTACCTTTAAGAAACATGACAAAATCGGGGGAAATTAAATGGTGATGTACCAGCAGGGGCTGCTATTGCACGGGGTCTGGTGGGTTACAGTTCACCCAAGGAGTCCAAGTTGCCATGGTAATTAGTCTGGAGCTTTCTTTCCATCACAAGGAATCTGTCCCGCTTTCACCACCTGGTGTATGCTGGCAAGATTTACAAGTTAATGCTTGACCTGTTTGGGCCACATTATGAACACATTTCTTGACCATCAGTGTCCTGGAGTGCGATTTGAACCCAGGCCTCCCAGGTCCAAGACAGGACCTACTGGCCAGAGCAACAAGGATAGGCAGGATCTTTGCTGTGGGCCCCACTTCTAATCTCTTAAAGGAGGCTGTGATTTCTTGTCTAGTTGAATGAGAGAGAGGAGGGGGAAAGGCAGTGAGCTAAATAAAGAGATGTCCCTCACCTGGAAGATGGGCTCCCTGATGTGGGTGAAGTAACTGCAGTGTGTCTCCAAGACAGTGCAGATAGTGTCGATAATATCAGATCCACAGAACCAGGACGTAGGCCATAGCTGGAGGAAATGGGGCTGGAGGAAAGATCCACAATGAGTTTAATATTTGACATTGCGCCAACTTTCATAAAGGTTATAAAGATGAAAAGATCTCAAAATTGGGAAATGGAACACTGTTATTTTCTGTAACCACTAACTGGAACAAACACTACCAGGACAAGGACAACAGGAGGTTAGATACAGGGAAATGCTCCCTCAGCACTATCCCCATCAAATATTCTTGAGACAGGGACAGCACAGGGTTGGATACAAAATAAAGCTGGCTCTACACTGTCCCCATCAAACACTTCAAGGCAGGGAAAGCACAGGGTGAGAGACAGAGTAAAGCTCCTTTTACTCTTTTAAAACCTTAAAGCAAAGCTCCATCTACACTGTCGCCATCCAACACTCCCAGTACAGGGATAGCACAGTGTTAAATACAGAGTAAAGGTCCCACCAGGATGCCCCAAATTATAATTTCAAAGGAATTTTCCCTTTATTTATTCACAGGAATTGGGCATCTCTGGTTAGGCCAGCATTTATTGCCATCCCCAACTGCCAACAGGGCAGTTGAGTCAACCATGTTGCTGTGGGTCTGGAGTCACATGTAGGAAAGGCAGATTTCCTTCCCTGGGGGACATTAGTGACCCAGATGGGATTTTCCCTAACAATAGGCAACGGTTTCATGGTCATCATTCCAGATTTTGTTTTTAATTCTGAATTTTAATTTCACCTTCTGCCATGGTGGGATTCGAACCGACATTCCCAGACCTTACCTGGGTCCCTAAATTAACAATCCATTGATAATACCACTAGGCCATCACATTCCTTCCAACCCCCACTCTATTCATTACCTCCCGAGAGAAAATCAGTTTTGTACGATTTTCTTTTGCCACCAACACTTGACTGTCATGGCCGCAAGCCGATCCCATGATGCACTGAGACAGTGGGTAGAACGAGGGAGGTGAGTGGTCAGAGTGCAGGCACAATTGCTATGACAACACGTCCTTCCCTCCACAGTTGTCACGATTGGACACTTACTCGACCAGCAGACCACGACTTCACTCCGATGTTTTCTGAGCAGAATACTTACAGGGAGGAGTGCGAAATGAGGCTCGTTATCAGGTCACTTCTGAAATGACGGACTGTTTTTCCTAAAAAAAATTAAACCCCGGGATATGGGCTTCAGTAGCAAGATGGGCATTTGTTTCCTAAGCTTGATACGACTTTGTGGGTTGCCAGGCCCTTCAGTTGATGTTGGTGAGGGGCTCAAATCACAGACTGGGTAAGAGGACGAAACAGAACCAGTTGGACTTCAATGCCAATCTGGCTTGATCGCTTTTGTTGATGCCAACCTTTCAAATGTTCTTGAATGGCTATTTGAATTCACTCTGGATGGCTAACCCTGTAGCAGGAAGCATTATGTTACGGTGTACAATAGTTGGATACTGGCTCTCCAACATCCAGCCCACACTAATCCTCTCAGCTACCCGTAGAGCTCAGTACCTGGAGATCTGAAAGCATCTCATCTATTAGCAGCCTGCAGCCTTTCTTCATTGCTCGGTCCACAGCTGTATCGATGGGGTGAGGTAACTTGCTGCAGCCGTCGCCATGGGAACCCTGGACGCCTTGCTGCTGCAGCCATTGGATGCATCTCCTGAGACACAAATTGGGGGGAAAGGCGTCAGGTTAAAGTTGCAGCACCCTTCCAAGTAGAAAGACGTTGGTCCCCACCCCCTTCCTGATGTAGTGCAGTAGTCTCCTGTCTTTCGTGTGTGAACTCTAACAGGATCAGTTGGTCATCTTGAACCAGCATACTGGCTTTCCACCTTACGGTAGCCCAGAGGGGCCATAGATGCTCAGTCATTGACGACATCCAAGATTGGGGCCCACTGGTTTTTATAAGAAGATAAGGAATGGTGGGATAGTGTGGGAAGATGAGATTGACTGTTTGCCATGATTGAGAGAGCAGATTCGAAGGGACGAATGGCCTACTCCAATTCTAACTCCTTGTGTCCTTATACCTGCAAAAGTACAGCGCAGTTGTGACCAGTGGTGCAGGAGGCTTAGACAATGTGAGACTTGGCTAGGAGCACTCTCACCTCTGAACCTATAGGTTCCGTTCCACGGACAAACAGAACAGAAATAAATGCTGTCGTGCTAACATGGCACTGCAGGAGGGAAGCGCTGTTGGAGGAGCAGTGTTTTAGATGAGACATCGGACCGAGTCTCTATTTACCATGCACAGATAGATGTAAAAGATCCAATGGCACCTTGAGAAAGGAAGGGCAGCGAGTTCCCCCACACCCCAGTGTCCAGGCCAATATTTATCGCTTCAACCACATCATCAAAAATGATCGCTCTGCCGTTTGCTGTGTTCAAATTGGCTGCTACGTTCCTGATTTTCCAACAATGACTTAACTTCAGTAAGTGCGCCATTAGCTGTAAACTGTTTGGAGATGTCTGGTAATGTGGGTCTTTCTTTCTCCCTGCTGCCTACATACCTGAAGGCGATACAGTTGTTGACAGTAGCCAGCAGGTACAGCAGGTAGTACTTGGGCTGGGAGGGTTTCTGTCGTTCCTTGCCATAACTGATCACTGCCTCTCGGAACCTGTGGGAAGAGTCCATGAAGAACTGAGAAGATAAGAAAGGTTCAGAGAGAACTCCCATCACTTTCACTGTCCCCATTATTCACTGGGCAGCCACGAATATCCAGCATACACCACTCAGCAAGTCCAGCAGCATCTGTGGACACGTAAACTAATAGAGAGAAGCTAATGAACCAGAGTCGACTAGAGGCTATAGGAATCTCTCACTATTAGTGAGGGATCAAAGCTTGTGGAGCACTACCAATCTCCAGAAATGGGGAAATTCAGCAGAAATCCATTCCAGTGCACAATCTTTGTCCATTACTATCTATTAGACAGAGTTGGTGAATAATTAAAATCTTTATGAGGAAGGTCATGTAGAAATATCCTTGGATGGGGAATGTTTTGGTGCGATGTGATACTGCATTTGACTCATGATAAGGACTTCAAGCCACAATCCGTGGGCCCCTAGCCCTGGTGGATTTGGTCATGCGAGGGCTGGTTGTCACAGAGTTGTACAGCATGGAAACAGGCCCTTCAGTCCAACTTGTCTGCGCCAACCAGATATCCCAATCTATTCTAGTCCGAGATAACAAGGTGTAGAGCTGGATGAACACAGCAGGCCAAGCAGCATCAGAGGAGCAGGAAAGCTGACCTTTCGGGCCTAGACC